CACAGCAGGGGGGTTGGAACTAGATGATAGTCCTTTAAGGTCCTTTTCAACCCAGGGTGTTCTATGATTCTGTGTACCCTATACCAAATACTAATGGGTCTTAACTGTGTTGCAGAGAATAAGGAGTGAGAAGTTGCCAGTCAGACTGTAAAGCATGAATGTGGTGGTTGTCTTCTGTTATTTTTGCATATTTGCAGAAGTGTCCTCCGTCTTTAATTTGTTACCAAGTGTTCAGTTGGTATCAGTTTTCATAACTTCAGTTTTGCCCTAAAGCGAAACACCTGATTTGTGTTAGGATACATTTTGACGCTGGTTCAAGCTGATCTAAGTCAAGGGCTAGTTCTCCTAAGTTCTAGTTCTCCTCTCAATGCTGCTGCATTCTGTTTTTTTGGGAAAGAAGGGTTTGTGAGACAAGGGAAGGAAGGGAAAAAGTCTGGATAGAAGCAGGTGAAGTTAGAACTATGTAAGGTTTTGCCAAAATTGTGAAAATGCACCTGCTGAATGGAGTTTGATGAATGGCCGATTTGAGCTCAGCTCACAGCTCACTGCTGCACAGAGGGGTAGCCTTGCTCTTTCTGTCCTCTCCATTTTGTCAGCTGTGATGCTTCTCACATCCTTTTTTGATCTTGCTCAACAAACCTACCTGGCAGATAACTGTCTGCTCTTCTTCTGCCTGTCCGGTTTTCTGCCAGGTTCACAGAGGGGTCCAGTGAGCCAGAGCTGCAAGCTTGTGCAGAGAGAGACTTGTATGAGAGAGCCTCTCTTCCTCAGGCAGTGGCTGTGAGCTGTAGGTTGGCTCACCATGTTTTCAGAGCTGATGGAAGAAGACTAATCTCTCGCAGAAGTCAGGAAGAGGTTTTTTTTTTTTTGTTCCCCCATGGATTTCAGTGAGAGTTGTACCTCTCCTAAGGTAAAACTCAAGCCCTGAATTTTTCTGTTTACTGTTACTGGTTTTGTATCTTCTTTTCTAGTTTCTTATTACTACAGGGGAAAACTTGGATTACCTTGATGGTGTGCATACAGTATTTGGAGAAGTGACAGAAGGCATGGATGTATTGAAGACAATTAATGAAACCTTTGTAGATAAGGATTTTATCCCGTATCAAGATATCAGGTGTGACTACTTTTCCCTTTTTGATGAATACATTACAGTTAAATAAAATAATATTTTTTTTGAAACTAGATTAATGTAGCGATGTCAGTTGACCTGTGTATGGTATCTTAAATACTCTTTTATTGCAGTTAAAATAAGCAGGTAATGAAATAAACAACTATATAAGAAAAGGTGCAACTGTGTTGCCTTTACAAAAACATCAGTAGTAGTATTTACAAACATACAGTATGTTTGGCTGCTTGGGATATAACTGAGAATCAGAAGAGCTGTTTTCCAGGTACTTGGGTAAAGAAAGTTTCATTTGCATATGACTGATGCTGGTCTTGATTTTGTTTTCCATAAGGATAAATCATACAGTAATTTTAGATGATCCATTTGAAGATCCACCTGGCTTGTCTGTTCCTGATCGCTCACCAGAACCTACTAAGGAACAACTAGATGTGAGTGTTTATGATAGCTTCTTGGGGAAAAGTTGGAAGAAATAATTAAACTTATCCCTAGCATGCAGTTATGGAAGTTGCTATGCGACAATGTCTCCAGTTGTTTCAAGCAATTAATAAATTGACCAGAGATAATATTGTTTATTTTTAAGCTTAATAGATACAATTACAATATTGGAATTAGGCTTTCATGATATGTCTGCACTGTGGTTGATCTCTGATGTACTTTCAGATATGTTAAAAAGTATATGGACTTTAATAGCTCACTGCCAACTGTGTAGAAATTTGAAAGCTTATGCTTAGTTTTCTGCCCCCATGGCCTTTCTGAAGATATGCCTTTTGATGTAGAAATGCCTGTAAGAAGGGAAGCATTCTAGAGATGCTCATGAGGAGTAAAAATTAAACCTCAAAGCCTGCCTAGAGGTAGATGTGTAAAAATAAAGTTCTTGTTGTGAAATACTAAGCTTAATGTTTGAGTCTTATTAGACACCACAGATACTGCAGTGTTCCTTATCTTTGCTTCTGGTAGGAGCTATCTAGATTAGAAGTGAGTTGATGCTTGTGGCGAGATGTTGAATATGAGATGTAATCTAAATCAAATCTAAATAAAATAATTTAGAATATCTAACTGAATATGGTTCAAATTGGGCCTGAAAGTTCATATGTAGTTCATAGTGCCTGGAACACCCAAGGATAACATCTCTCTTTTTTTAGTCTAAGTGAGAACAGAATGAAAGCCCAGTTCTGCAGAGATACTGCATTCTTCATGTCTTGAGGGGCAAGGGGGAGGTAATCCAAGTAATATTTGGAAAGTGAGAAAGAGTTTTTGGCCATGGCTTGGTAATAAATAGGTTTATTCCTTCATTTTTCAGAGTGGCAGAATAGGAGCAGATGAAGAAATTGATGACTTGAAAGGACGGTCTGCAGATGAAATAGAAGAAGTTCAGGCAGAAAAAGAAGCAAAAACTCGTGCCATTCTTCTGGAAATGGTGAATGTCTTTCTGTATTTTCCTTTTAGATGCTATTCCTGTGTGTGTGCATGTTATATTAAGTCTAAGAGGATGTGTATTATTTATCTTGAAATTGGTCATCTGATGATGATGTCATTGCTCAGAATCTGTGCTAGTAAATGTCTGCGGTGCAATGAAAAGGATTGACCACGAGCGCTGCAGGTGGTTTTCTGATAAAACTGATGATATTTTGTTTTCAAAGCCAGGATTAAAAGTGGACCAGCGGAGGCTTTATAAAAAACTGCTAGAAATGCACACAAATAAAACCATAAGATACATAATACACTACTGGATGTCTTTAATACTGGAAAATGTTTAGCATGGATGGGAGAGAGTCGAGCTAATTCGAGATAATCTCTTTGCCATGCATGTAGTGGCATTGAGATTACATTATTCATCTATGTAATGGTTGTCTTCCGTCTGTGGCATAAGCTGAATTTAACATTAGTTAACTTTATGTTCTACCTTCTTAAATACAGTGTTTGGTAACTGCTGGCAGTTGTAAACTCCATACTGACAAAAATTGTTAATAGGCTTTGAAGTCTTTTTCTTTTAAAAGAAAAAAAAAAAAAGAAAAAGGAAAAGAGCACATGCTGTAGAAGGATGGGTAAATCCATCACGCTTCTTTACAACTACCAAATTCAAATTTATGGTGAATAGTTTGCAGCAGAGACTAATACCAAGGTCAGTCTAGATGTGGTAACAGTGTTGCAGGAGATCTGCAGATGTGGGCTCTTGTTTTGCAGCAGCAGTGAGGCTAATGACCTGTTTTCCAGGGGAAGTTAAGGTTACCTAAGGAAGGCAAGTGGGGTATGTGAGCCAATGGAGTAATTTTCTGTGAGTATTGCTGGATAGTGTGCACTAGAGAGCTACATTATATAACCTGAAGAGATTAAATACTAAGTGTAATGCTAGTTTCACTGATTTGAAAAACCCCAACTATTATTTCCATTCTTCTTTTGTCAAAAGAGTAAACTTACCTGAGCATGTCATGTTCTTAAGGCCCTTTTGTGTTCTTTTTAGTGGAATCTGCTGCTTTCTTGTGTTATTTTGCTTCTTTCTGCTATTAAGCTAATATGCATTACCTTTTTATTAGCATATTAAGTAAAAGATGGAGGTAAATTGTTTAAAGATCACTAGTCTTTTCTTCAGGTTTTAAAAAAAAGTGTTACTGTTCAACAGGAGGTGGTGTGTGTATTTGCGTTTTCCTCTGTAACTTAATTTGCTAGTTTGAGGATGGGAATTTTGATCAAAGACTGCAAACATTGAAGTTGTGTGTGCGGCAAGCAAGTGTTGTTTCTTAGTAAGAATGAATGCTTTCTTCTTTTTGTCTATCTGAACGAAGTTGTATAACTTCTCATCCTTATCAAGCTATCTTAAATTTAGGCATATCCTAGCTGTTGGCAGTTTATCTTGGGTACAGACACAGACTAAGGAATGGACCCAGTCCGCTTCTGTTCTTATAACAGAGTGGGTCTAAAAGTACACTTTGACCTTTTAGAACTGTGTATTTGTTATGTTATGGACAGGGAAAGCAAGGTGGAAAGTATTTGAGACTTTCATGAAGTCTCAGTGGTAGAACTGCAAATAGATAATTATTTTTAGGTGCTACGGAAAACCCTTTTTTTGTGACAGTGAGTAGGAAAAATATTTTATTAATTTTTGATTTTGTGATAGGAATGTGTCTGAGATAATATGAAAGATGTGTTGCCAGTGTGCTTGTGGCAATAAAATGTAGAGAGCTTCAGGCAGAAGTGATGAATGTCTTTTTCTGTATGCCACAGGTGGGAGACTTACCAGATGCAGAGGTCAAGCCACCAGAAAACGTGCTGTTTGTTTGTAAACTGAATCCTGTGACCACAGATGAAGACCTAGAGATAATATTTTCACGATTTGGTCCCATTAAAAGGTAATTATTGTAAAATAAAAAAGAAAACCTTCTTTGTTGAAACCAAACTTGATTCCCGCTAGTCTCCTTAGGTATGGCTGTTAAGTAGCATTCTGTCGTTTGGAGGTTTATCCTGTGCCTGCGTGTATTTGGAGAGAGAACACAACAATGGGGTTTCAGAGTCAGATCTAGCTAGATGAGTATCCTGTCCCAGCAGTGGTTTTAAGTGAAAGCCTAGGGAAGTGTAGGAACAAGGAATTTCATATAGCTTGTCTGATTCTCCTTGTCTTCTCCTTATTTGGTGCTTTTTTCCTTATTGGGTGCTTTTCCCCTAATTTGGTGCTTTTTCCTTCTTTGGTGCTTTTCCCCTTTTTTGGCTTTTTTCCTTATTTGGTGCCTTTCCCCTTATTTGACCTTTTTCCTTATTTGGCACTTTTATTTGGGTTTTTCTTTTATTTGGTGTGTTTTTCCTTATTTGGTTTTTTCCCTTATTTAATGCTTTTCCCATGTTTGGCGTTTTTACCCTATTTGGCACTTTTTCCTTTGGTGCCTTTTCCCCTTATTTGGCACTTTTTCCTTATTTGGCTTTTTAATATTTTCCTTTTTAAATATTTTTTTGTTTGTTTGTTTTTTTGTTTTTTGTTTTTTGTTCTCGGTCACCTTTTGGATTGTGTATCCTAATCCTGATTTGTGCCTTCCTTGGTACAGATGGGGGACGTCTGACCTTATTAAATCTCACCTTAATACCACATTTCCTTCTCTTGTTGCCTGTCTGAGCTTTAACATCCTTTAGTCAGAATTCACATGTTGTATACAAGAGTTTGATAATACTGATGCAATACTGTATTGTTCCCATTTTGCTTCTACTGATTCAGTACTTTAGGCTTCTTACTTTTGCCCTGTGAACTGTGTGATAAGTAGATGGTTGCTAAAGAGGTGCTTGCTAAGAAGAGAAAATCTGTCACATAATGTCTGTTTAAACTTTCCTTAAAATAACTGAAAAAACAGAAGGTGAAATTTCTTGTCTTGCATTAGTGAAATGTAGAAAGCCAATAACAAACGGTAATGTTGGAAAACAGATTTTATTTAATTAATCAGAAAGTCATCCCTGGTTCTGTACTTCACGTTAACAGCTTGTGAGTTAAGTGTGATAATTACTCAAGGAATGCCACATGCCTTTCTTCTCTGCAGACACTCCCGCATCAGTAGGGGCCTGAGAATCAAGTGCTGTTAGACTTAAAGAATTATTTTTTTAACTGTAATTTTCCGTTCTAAGCAGTGCTTGCCTATCCTACGTTTTTTGCTCCAACAGCATTGACACTTGAATTTCATATCAATTTTTCAGCTGCGAAGTGATTCGAGACTGGAAGACTGGTGAATCTCTTTGTTATGCTTTCATTGAGTTTGAGAAGGTATGTAATTTAGGTATAGTGTATGTACATTCTGCTTGTAAAAGGTCATTTCTGGAATACATCCATTGAGGAAAAAGAATGAAATCTTCAAGTGTGGGGTAGATAATATTTTTTGTTACTGCCTTAGTTACAGAAGTTGTAGTTTTTAAATGAGACAAATGTTTAAGTCTTTATTCAACCGAGCAATACAAGTATGTTCTTCTTAGGTTGTCTTGAAACCAGTGGGAAGAGAGCAGGTCTTTTTTTTATCCCCAGAGCACATTAGGACTTTGAAGAGTTAAGGAAGGGAATGCTAGGAGAAGAAGGAGGCGTGCTGCATAAAGAGAGGGTGTGTGAAAGAAGGTAGATCGGTGTGTACAGTAGTGTCCTGTATTTTTTACCATGAGAGTGGTGAGGCAGTGGCCCAGGTTGCCCAGAGAAGCTGTGGATGCCCCATCCCTGGAGGGGTTCAAGGCCAGGCTGGATGAGGCTTTGAGCAACCTGGGCTAGTGGGAGGTGTCCCTGCCTGTGGCAGGGGGATGGAACTTGATGATATTTAGAGGTCCCTTCCAACCCAAACCATTCTGTGATTCTGTGATATTGGGCTTGTAAATGATGCTTGCTTTATCGACATGGTGCTCTTAATGTGAGATTGGTAGTAGAGTTCTCTTGATGGTGCATAGTTTGTTGTTTATGTCTTCTAATTTCTCTTTATCAATGGGGAAAACAGGAAAACACTGGAAAATTGTTTTCACTTTAGCCTACTTATGTACTTAAAATGATACTTTTATTAGTTGTTGTCCTTTTCCCTTGTTTTTCTGAACGTATTACATGTACCAAACACGTAGCTGGATTGTTAAATTTTTAAAATAATGAAATGAACTGAAGAAATGGAATTTGAAATCTTTATATTCGGACAAAGCATAACTATTTCTTTTGAAATGGCACAATGCAAGAACTGCTGTTCTTTATGCAATTTTAGAAAAAAAAAATGAATGTCATTAAACAGTTGGATTTGTGTTTGAGCTCTTCAGTGAATATTCCTAATTATGGCTCAAAATTTTCTGGAAATATTAATATCAGGAGGAAGACTGCGAGAAAGCCTACTTCAAAATGGACAATGTGCTGATAGATGACAGACGGATACATGTGGATTTTAGCCAGTCTGTTGCTAAGATTAAGTGGAAGGGAAAAGGTACGTACACTTGCGATTCTTTGACCCTCATAACTTACCAAGCCATGGCTTCTAAACTGTAAATGTTCTGTAAGGAGAAGCAATTGTTATGAGCTTAAATTCTCTCATCTTCAGTGCTATGAATTTTCCCGGTACTATAGTAAATAGAGCAACGCTAGCTTGTTGCTAGCTTTTCGCTTCACTTGTTGTGTATGAAGGGGTAGAAGGGTTTGCTACAATTACATTAACATTATGTTGCCATGGATTGCCTTTTTATCAGATTTATTTTTACCAATAAATAATTTGTTCCTCTCAAGCTTTAAAAATGATGGGTTTTGATATTACTAATTAGCAAAATAATGTGGTAGTACATTGTTACTTTCTAGTTTATTTTATTTGTTCACTGTGTGACAGTTGGGTGTATACAAGAAAAAGTCAGTATTCAGGCCAGGGATTTCCCCTCTTCACCTCCTGTAGGTCAGGCATGTTGCATAGCAGGCTGCATGTTATAAAACCCAGCTGCAGGTGTTTGAGGATGTTTTGGGAGGAAAAAAATGATGGTAGAGATGGTTACAGTGGTTATTTGATTGTTGGGACATGAGGAAGACACTGGACTTGGAGAGGTGACTGTGCATTGCAGTGGTGATGTTTTTGTGCGTCTTCGCCTAAAAATGCAGTCAGCCCTCAATTATTGCGTACGATTTGTGCATGCTGGACACTAGTCGTGGACACTGAGGTACTACAGCTTCTGCACAGAGCTGAGATGACTTTGTAATCTATACCATGCTCTGCAGTGCATCCTGTACTAACTGACTACGTGGAAAAACTTTTCTTTATCTGGGTAACTTAGGTCTAAATTGTCCTAAATATGGGAAAGCTAATGATATTGTCATCTTGTGCTTATATGATACCCAAAAAATGATCTAGGGGAAGTATTGTCCTTCCACCTTCAGCAGCCATTTCTGACCTACCCATTAATATTGCAGTTTTAAGTAAGACCGTGAGATGGCAGCATGTGGCTGTAGAATAGTTTATTAATCTGTGAGCTGGTAGTTTCAAGTGAATGGATGGAAAATTAGATCTGTCATGCCCCTCTTTAGATCAAGACATGGCAATTTTAAGAGTTTTCCGTTTGAATTCCTAAGCTGTAGCTGTCTCAGAGGTTTGTCTTTGTGCAGCCTAGAGCAAAAAGTCATTTCATAATGAGAATAGTCTGTAGGCTTTCAGAGTAACAGAATTTTAAGTAGTGTGACATAGGACCTATAGTCAGAGCGTGACTAGTTGCTAAATCCTGCTTTGTGATTCTGTCCCTGTGTTTTCTCCACTGGGCATGAGTGAGGAGAAAGCCGTATCTTGTTTAGTGGGATCTGCTAGCAAGAGAAGGACAGAAAATTTTCTACTGTCTTCTATTCTGTTACCTAGATGTCAGTGTTGTTTCTGGAACTGTATGCAGCTATGAATCTCTGTATGGTTATAAGAGCCCTTCAATTCATAAGCAGAATTTCGTGATAGGTGTGGATCTTGGTTGTTTTTTTAGTTGGAATGAATTGAATATATTTTTCTGTGGACAGGTGGGCGGTATACCAAGGACGATTTTAAAGAGTACGAAAGGGAACGTGACAAGCCTTCAAAACTTGCTCTGAAAGAGAAGGTAAAACCAAAGCAGGAGTATCCTTTTATGGTCAAAGGTGTTTTTTGCACTAAGTACAGTTTATGAAAAGAGCCTGGAAAAGACTTCTTAAAGCTTGCTAAATAGGTGTTTTGCTGCTGCTTCGTATAATAACCATGTGGTGTTTGAGATGGAATTAAGTATTTTGTGTTTGTCATTAGATGACTTCAATGAATTTAGTCAAATCAGAATGTGGTGTTGTGCTTCCATGTTGTGTGCAGGTAAATAATGTTCCCTAGTCCAGAGCCCTGGAATGACAGTGGTGTAACAGAGTTTTAAGTATTTTCACAAGGGACCTGCTGCATCCAAAATGAGACGATAGTAGTATCTTAAATCATGCTCTGCGACTTTGCTTTGCTTGTGGTGAGCATGAGAGAAGACCATAGCTTGTCCAGATATCCACAGATAGAAAAGAGAACTGGGACCTGACAGTGCTGTTTGACAGGACAGAATTTGGTCAGTTTAGCACAGATGATTTTTTCAATGTGTGCGATCCTATTCTGATACATCGTAAGTCTTGGTAAACCCTGGTCTGATAAACAGGTGTTTGTTTGCTTCATGAGCTTTTATGTTTTGCTATTTATTGATATTAAATAACAGCTCTATCCTTAACCAACACCATCAGTGCCAAGTATGACCTTGTGCTGGATGAAGTTATAGAAGAGTCCCAAACAAGTCAGTCACACTTGGCTAAAAAACAAAAGAAGAAAAAGCACCACCACTCTGAAGATGAAGAAGACGATAAGAGGACCAAAAAATCTAAGGTACTAACCTCTTTGTGCATTAATTTTTTGTCTGTTTATTGTTCTCCTAGTAAGAGAAGCCAGGAAAAAAGAAGTCTGATGTTGAACTGAGGACATGGTGTGCAAAGTCCCATAAAATACAGCAGTTGTAAACGTACAGAAGGCTGATGTTAGTATCTGATTATGAAAAAGGCTTTCCAAATCTTCCTGGACTTTTGAAGCTTGGCATGTCTGAATGGCTTTTTGCCAAAACATCCTGAATAGGAAATGTAGCCTCTCATAAAGTTGGAGACCTTCAGCACTTTGAACCTGTTTTTCATATATTCCCAGTCATAAACTAGTAGTTAATTATATTATATTTCGTGCATCTGTGTAGTGCAAGCATATACTGCTGTAAGACTCAGACTGTGGGAGAGGTCATCAGGAGACAGCGGTTCTGTCATTCATTAGTTCCACTGCAGCCTGGCAGGTCAGCATTCTCACATTTCTGTAAACTTAGGATAGTCAAGATGTTGATGTTCCATGGAAACAATGTCTGCAATGATAAAGTGGAGGGTTAACCACTATCGAAGTGTGACCATTAGAGAGAATTGAGCTAAGCTGAAAAAAACCCCCCAAACCCAATATTTTAACACTGCAAGCTTTATGAGCAAGAACAAAGCTGTCTTCCAGCTATTTTTCAGAAAGTGATAAGGTTTCAGGCACAGTAAATAAAGCCATTGTCGTGGAATGAGTTTTGAATACTGCTTTAAGTTCTGTGTACAGAGAGCATACATGATTTAGTTGTTCCACTGCATCACTTCTTGCTGTGATACTAAAAATAACTTTTCTGATGAATGTTAGCAATTGAATTTTCTCAGGGCCACTAGTAAGCCCTATTGCTCATTTGTGGTACAAGTCTTTTTGTCACTGTTTGTATACTGGTTCGGTCGGAATCCTTTGGGTGGAGGGGAGGGATCTGTTAATTAAAGGCTCAATTGGAGCATATACATACAAGAGGTCTGAACTAATGTTGGTTTATACTTCCTCCTATTATGTTGTCTGATTGACATTGCTGCTTTAACATTCTTGAAACAGATATTTCTGTAAGTAGTCTTTGTTCTTGGTGGTTCTGAAATTACATGTGTGGGACTGGCTGGTCATGCATTATTAGCAGAGAATGTTTTAAAATCATTCAGATGTCTCCACCCCTTCACGTGGTACAACAAGTACTGGCAGCAATAGGCTGTTAAACAAGGGGACTGCAAGGCATGTTAGCAGTGGATTTCATAGCACAAAAGTGTGAGGACAGAGGGATTCCTGGTGCTATTTCCAGGTTCTGGAAAATAGTGTTTTCTAGTGCTTGACTCTTTGATCTTTGTGCCTCTGTGTATCTTTTTGTGATTTAGTCGCCTCCTCCTACTGTGGTATGTTCCTGTAGTCTACTGGTGCTGTATTCTGCTATCTTCTACTTTCCTACTGCTTTCTTCTCTGTTGCTTGTTTTTACCCATTTCAGTGTAAATAGCTTAGCTTTATGCCCACAGTCACAGGTGGAGGCTTACTTCTATTCTCTGATGGCAAGCAACACAGTTTCCTCTTAGAGCTGTGAAAATGAATTTAAGAGAAGAATCTTTCTTTGTGTCTGTACTTGAATACTCGTGTTAGTGTGTACTGTGTAGTATGTACATACTGAGCAGTGTGCACTCAGTGGGATTTAGAGATTCAGTGTCTTTGGCATGACCCTTTCCAGATGAAATCTGCAGGCGACTTAGCTAACAAATCCTGATTAGCATATACAAAATGTAATTTTTTTTTTCCTTTTTAGATTTATAATTTGGGCGTAATCTGGGGAACCTCCTACAAGAACAGGGGGAGGAGGCATGTTCTTGAGACAGAGTCTGTTCAGTATGAATACCAAGACCAGCACAAAGCATAACAGTATGGAAACTTTTTTGATGAATGGTAGCATTTTTAGTGTAGGCAAAGAAAACATTTTCCCTTAACTTGGTTTTGGAGATATTAGAATATATTTGAGATAAGAACTTTAAAACAAAACAAGAGCAGACCTTCCACAATTAATTGGCCAAAGACCACAATATCCATGCTTTTTATATTATGTATACATAAACCTCCACCATGAGCCCCTACTGTGATTTGATTAACAGAGAACAGGGTCTTACAAGGGAAGTTCTGGCAACTGAAAGTGCAGTTTGTGCTACCAGCTCCAGCAATGACTGAAGGGGTTTTATTTTCTGAATAATTTCCATGATGCTGAGTTGTTTTTCTGTTACCTTCCTGTTCTTTTTTTTTCTTTAGTGTATTTTGACTCATCCTTTTCTTAGTCTGACACCCATTTCCTGAATCTTCAGCCTCTGCATCGATGTTTTAAGAATATATTTTTGAATCTTGTGCTGTTTGACTTGATTCCAGAGGTTAGAAGAGGTAGGATGCTGTGCTTTGCTTTTAGTAGGTAACAGGATGTGGGTCCGGAGCAGGAGGCGACACTGCCGTGTGGGTTTGTGAATAGGATTTGGTACAGTTTTTTTGAAGAGAGGTCATGCTTCTGCTTGAGATCTATGTTATGACTTTGTTTCTCTTTTGGTTAAATGGATTTTTTTTTTATAACTGGATCAATGGAGGAGTATAGCCTGTCCAGTGGATTTTTGTGAGACATAAAAATCATGATTTTCGGGTTTCTGTAGTGCATGATTTTGGCCAAAATATTGATTTTTCTGGTTTTAATTTCCTGCTTTTACTGCTTATTGGACGCCGTTCTCTTTTTATTCAGGGTCAAGTTTGATAAAAAATCTCCCTCTCAAAAAGGCTGTCTCTATGTGTTTGCTCCTTTTAACCTTTAACTAGTGTGTGTAATGTACGTAGAGGTGGCATATTTGTTCTTCTTTTGCAGTCATGGTGTTTCTAGCTGATTTACATGCAAGTGCAGTTTGGCAAGTTACTACTTTTGTCAAAGCCATGGGTATTCACCAACACAGTGCTGGATTAAGAATTGGGATGAGCATCATTTACTCATTGACTGATAAGAGGCTGTGATCCTGGATTGAGAAATCTAGACTTAGCAGTAAGAGAGAGCCTGGTTTTAAGTAGGCTTCCACTTGTCTTCCACTTCCAATAGGAAAACAGCATGTTCCTGACTTGGATAGGGCATAAAAGATTTTGTTTCAAAATACCGTTATTTTTAGTAACTTAAGAGTGTTCAAAAAATTGACTTTTTTTCTGTGCTAAAGACTTAAAAAAGGTAAAATTTTATTTAAGGGAAATGCGACCACTTTTTGGGGGAACTAAGATGCCATTCATCCTATTAATTCAAATTGTTACTTTTTTTCTTCACACTGTGATCGTATTAGCTACCGTGCTGACCTTTTTGTGGCACTTTCAGACCTGCCCTGTACACCTGTACCCCAAATGCTTCTGTGAAGGTCATTGTGCTTATCTGGCTCCATGCTCCTGTGACTGTTTTTTAATCCTTTCAGCAAGTTGTCCTTTTCCGTGGCATTCAACGTAGGCTCTTGGTCTTCACTTTCATGTCTTCCCTAACTTGTTTCCTGTGCTGACTTGGCCAGTAGCCTGTCTCCAGTGTTGGTTTGGTAGGTTTTTCAACTGACTGCTGTTCTGCTTTTCTCCTGTTTCTCCTTGTTCTGGGAGGACACTTGAGCAACAAGCCACCTAAGAGGCAGCAGTGCACCAAGCCCACCATCTGTTTTCCTTGCCAATATTTTTGTCTTGTTCCTCTCTACTCCACCTGTCTGTCCATCATCTGACGTTTACTCGGGCCCTGCCACAAAGGGGCTTGCAGCCTGTCGTCTTGTTCAAACAAATAGAACCTGAGGCTTTTGGGTACAAGAATGATATGGCTGTGCATCGTTCTGAAGATGAAGGGACAAGCATCTTGTAAATAACTGGAATCGCCACTCCTTTTTGATGGATTCAGATTTTAAAGTCCGTACTGAAACAGAGTTTGACAGTATGTGGAATAAGCATTTGGCCCCCAGTGAGATTACTGTACCCAGCAGTAGCAGAAATTTTTTGTTATGTAGCTAAAGATAAAATCTCTGATTATTGATGTGTGTGTTGATCCAGGGGTTTTATGTTGCTTATTTTAACTCTAGTCTTTCAGCATTGTCTAAAGGTGGTGTTTGCTCTGGGAGTTTGCTCTGGGAACTACCCTAGTCACTGGTTTTCTGGATAGAAGCTCGGCCTTGAGTAGAGTTTATTTTCACTGTTCTTTTAAATAAATAAAGTTTGCTTGTTTGTACATGCAGTATAGGTTTTAGCCATACAATTGTGTATGCTGCTGTCATGAGTATATATTTAGAAAAATGAAAATTGTATCTGAAATTAAGAAAGAAATACTGTGTAATTTAATGTAGACATTTTTGATAGTTCATAATGATCTGTGTTTAATAGTGGTCTTAAAATCCCATAAAATGGTGTCTGTCTACTAGAGCATGTAGTGATACTAAACTTTTGAGTGATCATAGCTTCAAAACAGAAGTGACAACCACTTTCTTAATAGCAAGTTGTGCATGTATCTTTCTGCAGGATTCTGAAGCTCCTCTTATATATTGTTTCGCTGTACATCTTAACGTCAAAATAGTTTTTAGCAGTGCTTGAAAATGTTAGGAGTTCACATGTCAAAACTGAGTGTTGTGTATTAAGAAAATCTTTAGAGTTCCTTGAAATGAAATGACAAATTTCTAAGTGATCTTCTTTTTTACTTTTAAAATTGCTATGATGCTGTGGCCTATGCGGGTGTTCGTGTCTCCACATAGTTGTTGTAGCGTGTGCTGTGCCATAATCTTGTTAGTGTGACATTTCACAATCAGAGTAGCTAAGCCATCTTCCCTTCATTTACTGCTGCACTGTCTCAGTGGTTTCATACTGTCTGCCTGCTGCAACAAGGGAAGCAGGTGTTCTACTGACAGTAATTCCTCCTTTGCTACCTGAACCTCATTTCTCTTCAGAGCCACTCAGTCGGCATTCTTGGTGACAATACGCAGAAAGCCAGGGAAATTCAGAATTTCCTCATTGTTGGCTACCTAAACTTGCGGTATTTTTTTTTTAAGATTTTTTGTGTGTGTGCGGAAACACCATTACCACTTAAAGTACTGTCGCGGATGCTGCTTTAGTATCCTGCCAACTATGCCAGTTTGTCGTGGGTTAAGTATCTCACACAGTTACTATTTAGCAACAATTTAAGATTTATTAACGGTGTCAGGTAAATCAAAGGTAAAATTTTAGTAGCACTCAATCATTAACCAATTTAAAGATTAATAAGGTGATTCACTAGAATATGTTATGATTAAAATAGCGACTTAATTAAAGATTCAAGAATGACAAGATTCACGCTAACTTACTACAAGGTATCCTAAATGTATATGTATACACACAACACACAGACAGACAATCGCACAAACACTGCGGAAATGCTTGGATCCAGTGAAATATGTAAATAGGGAAACTAGCCTATAGTAAAAAAGTTCTCTCTTCTTTCTCTATAGGGAGGCAGATAGATGAGACTAGCCTCTAGATAAAAGTTCCCTCTTCCATCTTGAGTTTAGAGTAAATACAGTCACAGTGCATGGGCATTCCTCAACAGGCGATAATTGAGCCTTGAGAAGCAGAACTTCACCCTGGCCTTTTGTTGACTTCACCTGCAGATGGTCCTTAGACCTCTTTGGTCCTGAGAGGCGTCCCAGCTCAGGGGAGATGCTGGCCACAGCTTCCTGCGATCCAGGAGAGCTCAAAGGGTCTTGCTTGGGGTTGCTATTTATGGGGTATGAGATAATTGACTTTTGTCAGGTGTTTTCCCACTACAGCCCAGCTCGGAATGACAGAATATTCTGGTGCTTTCCACTCTTGCCCAGAGTGTGCGACCCCCTTTGGGCTCCAACCCAGGTACAAGTGGACGGTGCAGGTGCACTGGGCTGTCAGGAGGTGATTGATTATCATTATTGTTTCAAATAATGAGAAAAGCAGGAGCCAAGGATGTGAAGGGGGTGCCTTAACGCTTGGTTTCACTGCTTATTGTTTCCAGTGGTGTGAAAGCAAGAGTTAGGAATGTCAAGAGGGGTGTCTTAATGCTTGGGCTCACTGCCTTCCCAGACTGTCCCTGACTTACCCTAGATCGATGTGTGGCCCAGGTGGGTAGGAATTGCACCAAGTACGGAGTGACTGGGGAGAGGAGGGGCTTGCACCACCACACGTACATAGTGTTGGTCTCTCCTTTTTAGGCCATTTTAAATTAGACAAACTTGTAGCCCTTAGAGTTTACTATGTCTGTGTATGAGTGTATCCTCATGTGTTTTCTGTTTTCATACCCATCAGCCTGAAAAATACAACTCATTTTTCATTGCTTTTGTTATTGTTCGACTACACATTTAAAAGGATCGGATTCTCCATGTTGTCTTTTCTTGTGGACTTCTATCTTCAAGGAAGTGAAGTAGTTTGTGTGCATGTGTATGTGTGTAGTATTGGTCTTTGTAAAAGTGTCATTAATTTTTCTGAAGCCTAGAATTTAGGCCATTAAGGATTATTACAGGCAGGTCTTAAAAAGCATTCTGCATCTTCATAGCACTGGAATGCATAAGGGCTTGAACCAAACCTATAATTGAAATACTTCCATTGCTTAGATAAAAGTTAAAATCCAAATCTAGCTTAGAAGCTTGTGTGATGCTTCTGAAGAGTTTGATAATATCTATCTGAGTTGAATGCCTGATACAAGCAGTTTTTGATAAAGCTCCTTAGGAAATACAAGCAGCAGCATGCCTGGCAGCCATGTTTTTTTCCATAAATGCTGACCGAAGCTGTAGACTTTCTTCTTCATGTAGTTACAGTGGGGTTTTTTTATGTGTTATCTTTTTGAAATCATCAGGGATGTGAATCTGTGTCAGGTAGTACCAGCCTTCACTAAGGAACAGGCCATGCTTGACTCTTTTTTCTAGTTCTTTTCATGTATTTGTATATTTCCCCCTTTTGTCTGTAACTGCATATCTATTCAATTCCTCTAACAGGATTCGGATCGAAAACACGAAGGAGAACGCTGTAGAGAGAAGATGAAGAGTGAGAAGAAAGACAGGCATCGGAGTCGCAGCCGATCTCAAGAGAGAGACTACACTTACAGCAAACAAAGAGACAAATACAAAGAAGACTTCCGAATAAGAGACTGGGATAGAAAAGCAGACAGAAGCAGAAGTCCTAAAAAATCAAAAGACAAAGAGAGGTCCAAGTACAGATGAGGGACGATGAAAAGAGAGAGGGGAACTAAAATATGTTTTCTTCCAGCATTTCCAACATTCTCTCCAGTGGATGTGCAGTTACTGGATAAAAGCAGTTGCCTTCTGTTGGCAGCTTATAATTCTATGAATGCCCAGTGTCTGACTGTCGGAGTAAGCCTTGGTTTCAGAAAGGTTGTTTCAATAAAGTATTTCACATTAGTGAAATGGTTTGATCTCCGATAAGGAATGTTGCCTAAAGCTTTTTGGAAACACAAGCATGCACTAAGAAGTGAATTGCCTTTCTCCATTGTGAAGAGATTTGCAGGACATCCCCCTGGAGGACTGTATTTATCTTTCAGCATTTTCAGATGCTGTGGTAATGAGTGTGATAGAAGACCTGGGGAGACAGAAATATGCTTTGCACGCTCCTTCCACAAAGCGGGCAGATACCATTTGTATATGAATACTCAAAACTCCCTCCCTCCTTTAAAATTGGGGGCTCCTGGGTGGCTTAGTGCTGTCAGCTTTGTTTGCTGGCACCACTGTGCAGCAGTGGTTGAAGGCCCTAGAGTACTGCTGTGCTGCTTGCAAGGGCGGTGGAGGTGCTGCACCATGCTAAATCAATAGCATGCACTTGCTCACTTATTTAGATGGATAATTTGGCATTGTGGCATTGCTGGAGGATGCCTCTCAAAACTGAGATTCACTTGATGCTTGGCCCATCTGTCCTCTGTAGTGTCAGGGGGGATCTAGCTGCCGTGCTGTTGGGCAGGTTTTGTTGGGTGGATAGAAAAGAAGAAAATAGTGAATAGCAGAATTTGTAGAAAAACAGGATTTGTAACTTGCATTGTATTTGCCAAAGTGTAGATGGGATTAATTTTCAGGTTTCATGTCAGAAATAGGTCAGTTCATAACTCTTCATCTCCAGAGGAATGCAAGTGGTATTATCAGAGCCTGGGTCCCAGTGAAAGTTGGCAGACTCGTAAATGCCTGGCTCGCTCTGATAAACAAGACCTCACCATTTAAACAGTATTAGCCAGTGTGCATACATTTTAAGAACATGTAGATTGTCCTCTTTCTCTCCAGAGGAGAGATCTCGCATTGTTAGGAGGGGTGGGGAGACACGGGGAACAGTATTTGTCTTTTCTTCCCTTCCATGGAATGTGTGGTGGCTCAGAGGCAGTCTGCTTTTATGAATAAATTTAACTTTTTTCTTTTGTGATTGTGGTTTTATTGTAATACAAGTTGTAGTGTCTGACTGTAATATGCCATAAGATTTTATAGCTTGATATCTCTCATTGGAATGTGATCTACAGGACAAAGACTAAAATTCAAGGCAGCCAAGAAGAGCTGCTGCAAATTGCTGTGCCTGGCCAGTGCATTTGAATGGACTGCATGCAGACAGGCAACTTCTTGATTAAGATGCTTCTATGGGAAGGCTGGCACTAAAGGAACAAAAGCAGCTGTTTACCCCGTGGCAGAAAATGCTGACTAAGCGAGCAGGCCAGATGCCTAGAATATCCAGCCCCAAGCTGAGCGAGGATAGTGAGGGTATTGTACACAGCAATGCGCTTTCCAGAAGCATCTACCCTGTCTTCAGTTTTTTAAAGATAAAGTGTTATTTGGCTAAGAAGCTGCCCTTTCCTGAATCTCTCTAACTTCTGTGTGCTTCAAAGCATGGAACTAGAAATCTGGCATTTCCATAACTGTCTCCTGATAAAATGTTTCTAAGCCACTGGGACTTGGGGAGGCCTGGGCAGTCCTTGCAGGGTCTGAGCAAGAGTGCAGGGCCCACTGTCCCAGAGGAGAAATAAAACCGAAGCCTGCTTCTGGGAGTCTGTCAGGGGGCCTGGGGCTGAGGACCACTCACTGTTTCAAGAAAGTTTCTGGCTTCAGTCTGGGCAGAAGGAGACTTCCAAAGAACTGTCCTAGACCAGGAGATGGTGCATTCGGGGTAGTGCTGCTGAGGCACTCCAGCTCTTCCTGCTTTTAGCCTGCTTTTCTAAAGAAACAAGGTTTGCACTGCCGTACTGTTGTCAGTTCTTTTCCATGGGACATTTTTAATGTGCAGTAAACATTGGCCAAATTTGACAAGGATGTGGAGATGCTAAAGCACTTAAGTTCTTGCTGCTTTTAGGACATGGCAATCATAGAGCAATAAAGGTTCTGCTC